GTGTATGTAGCAGGGCGTGTATATAGAAGGGGCGTGTACGTAGCAGGGCGTGTATGTAGCAGGGCGTGTATATAGCAGGGCGTGTATATAGCAGGGCGTGTATATAGCAGGGGCGTGTATATAGAAGGGGCGTGTATATAGCAGGGCGTGTATATAGCAGAGCGTGTATATAGCAGGGCGTGTATAAAGAAGGGGCGTGTATATAGCAGGGCGTGTATATAGCACGGCGTGTATATAGCAGGGGCGTGTATATAGAAGGGGCGTGTATATAGCAGGGCGTGTATATAGCAGGGCGTGTATATAGCGGGGCGTGTATATAGAAGGGGCGTGTATATAGCAGGGCGTGTATATAACAGGGGCGTGTATATAGAAGGGGCATGTATGTAGCAGGGCGTGTATATAGAAGGGGCGTGTATGTAGCAGGGCGTGTATATAGAAGGGGCGTGTATGTAGCAGGGCGTGTATATAGAAGGGGCGTGTATGTAGCAGGGCGTGTATAAAGAAGGGGCGTGTATATAGCAGGGCGTGTATATAGCACGGCGTGTATATAGCAGGGGCGTGTATATAGAAGGGGCGTGTATATAGCAGGGCGTGTATATAGCAGGGCGTGTATATAGCGGGGCGTGTATATAGAAGGGGCGTGTATATAGCAGGGCGTGTATATAGCAGGGCGTGTATATAACAGGGGCGTGTATATAGAAGGGGCATGTATGTAGCAGGGCGTGTATAAAGAAGGGGCGTGTATGTAGCAGGGCGTGTATATAGAAGGGGCGTGTATGTAGCAGGGCGTGTATATAGCAGGGCGTGTATATAGCAGGGGCGTGTATATAGAAGGGGCGTGTATATAGCAGGGCGTGTATATAGCAGGGCGTGTATGTAGCAGGGCGTGTATATAGAAGGGGCGTGTATGTAGCAGGGCGTGTATATAGAAGGGGCGTGTATGTAGCAGGGCGTGTATATAGCAGAGCGTGTATATAGCAGGGCGTGTATATAGCAGGGGCGTGTATATAGAAGGGGCGTGTATATAGCAGGGCGTGTATATAGCAGGGCGTGTATATAGAAGGGGCGTGTATGTAGCAGGGCGTGTATATAGAAGGGGCGTGTATGTAGCAGGGCGTGTATAAAGCAGGGCGTGTATATAGCAGGGCGTGTATATAGCAGGGGCGTGTATATATAAGGGGCGTGTATATAGCAGGGCGTGTATATAGCAGAGCGTGTATATAGCAGGGCGTGTATAAGAAGGGGCGTGTATATAGCAGGGCGTGTATATAGCAGGGCGTGTATATAGCAGGGGCGTGTATATAGAAGGGGCGTGTATATAGCAGGGCGTGTATATAGCAGGGCGTGTATGTAGCAGGGCGTGTATGTAGCAGGGCGTGTATATAGAAGGGGCGTGTATGTAGCAGAGCGTGTATGTAGCAGGGCGTGTATATAGCAGAGCGTGTATGTAGCAGGGCGTGTATGTAGCAGGGTGTGTATGTAGCAGGGCGTGTATATAGCGGGGCGTGTATATAGCAGGGCGTGTATGTAGCAGGGCGTGTATGTAGCAGAGTGTGTATATAGCAGGGATTGTATGTAGCAGGGCGTGTATGTAGCAGGGCGTTTATGTACCAGGGCGTGTATATAGCAGGGCGTGTATGTAGCAGGGCGTGTATGTAGCAGGGCGTGTATATAGCAGGGCGTGTATGTAGCAGGGCGTGTAAGTAGCAGGGCGTGTATGTAGCAGGGCGTGTATATAGCAGGGCGTGTATGTAGCAGGGCGTGTATATAACAGGGCGTGTATGTAGCAGAGCGTGTATGTAGCAGGGCGTGTATGTAGCAGAGCGTGTATGTAGCAGGGCGTGTATATAGCAGGGCGTGTATGTAGCAGGGCGTGTATGTAGCAGAGCGTGTAAGTAGCAGGGCGTGTATGTAGGAGGGCGTGTATGTAGCAGGGCGTGTATATAGCAGGGCGTGTATGTAGCAGGGCGTGTATAGGCGTGTATGTAGCAGGGCGTGTATGTAGCAGCGCGTATATATAGCAGGGCGTGTATGTAGCAGGGCGTGTATGTAGCAGGGCGTGTATATAGCAGGGCGTGTATGTAGCAGGGCGTGTATATAGCAGGGCGTGTATGTAGCAGAGCGTGTATTTAGCAGGGCGTGTATGTAGCCGGGCGTGTATGTAGCAGGGCGCGTATAGGCGTGTATGTAGCAGGGCGTGTATGTAGCAGGCCGTGTATATAGCAGGGCGTGTATGTAGCAGGGCGTGTATGTAGCAGGTTGTATGTAGCAGGCCGTGTATGTAGCAGGGCGTTTATGTACCAGGGCGTGTATATGGCAGGGCGTGTATGTAGCAGGGCGTGTATGTACCAGGGCGTGTATGTAGCAGGGTGTGTATATAGCAGGGCGTGTAAGTAGCAGGGCGTGTAAGTAGCAGGGCGTGTATGTAGCAGGGCGTGTATATAGCAGGGGGTGTATATAGCAGGGCGTGTATGTAGCAGAGCGTGTATGTAGCAGGGCGTGTATGTAGCAGGGCGTGTATGAAGCAGGGCGTGTATGTAGCAGAGCGTGTATGTAGCAGGGCGTGTATGTAGCAGGGCGTGTATGTAGCAGGGCGTGTATGTAGCAGAGCGTGTAAGTAGCAGGGCGTGTATGTATGAGGGCGTGTATGTAGCAGGGCGTGTATATAGCAGGACGTGTATGTAGCAGGGCGTGTATAGGCGTGTATGTAGCAGGGCGTGTATGTAGCAGGGCGTATATATAGCAGGGCGTGTATGTAGCAGGGCGTGTATGTAGCAGGGCGTGTATATAGCAGGGCGTGTATGTAGCAGGGCGTGTATATAGCAGGGCGTGTATGTAGCAGAGCGTGTATTTAGCAGGGCGTGTATGTAGCAGGGCGTGTATGTAGCAGGGCGTGTATAGGCGTGTATGTAGCAGGGCGTGTATGTAGCAGGGCGTGTTTATAGCAGGGCGTGTATTTAGCAGGGCGTGTATGTAGCAGGGCGTGTATGTAGCAGGGCGTGTATAGGCGTGTATGTAGCAGGGCGTGTTTATAGCAGGGCGTGTATGTAGCAGGGCGTGTATAGGCGTGTATGTAGCAGGGCGTGTATGTAGCAGGGCGTATATATAGCAGGGCGTGTATGTAGCAGGGCGTGTATATAGCAGGGCGTGTATGTAGCAGGGCGTGTATATAGCAGGGCGTGTATATAGCAGGGCGTGTATGTAGCAGGGCGTGTATGTAGCAGGGCATGTATATAGCAGGCGTGTATGTAGCAGGGCGTGTATATAGCAGGGCGTGTATGTAGCAGAGCGTGTATATAGCAGGGCGTGTATGTAGCAGGGCGTGTATGTAGCAGGGCGTGTATGTAGCAGGGCATGTATGTAGCAGGGCGTGTATATAGCAAGGCGTGTATAAAGGAGGGCGTGTATGTAGCAGGGCGTGTATGTAGCAGGGCGTGTATGTAGCAGGGCGTGTATGTTGCAGGGCGTGTATATAGCAGGGCGTGTATGTAGCAGGGCGTGTATATAGCAGGGCGTGTTTGTAGCAGGGCGTGTATGTAGCAGGGCGTGTATGTTGCAGGGCGTGTATATAGCAGGGCTTGTATGTAGCAGGGCGTGTATATAGCAGAGGGTGTATTTAGCAGGGCGTGTATGTTACAGGGCGTGTATGTAGCAGGGCGTGTATGTAGCAGAGCGTGTGTTTAGCAGGGCGTGTATGTAGCAGGGCGTGTATGTAGCAGGGCGTGTATATAGCAGGGCGTGTATGTAGCAGGGCGTGTATGTTGCAGGGCGTGTATATAGCAGGGCGTGTATGTAGCAGGGCGTGTATATAGCAGGGCGTGTTTGTAGCAGGGCGTGTATGTAGCAGGGCGTGTATAAAGCAGGGCGTGTATATAGCAGGGCTTGTATGTAGCAGGGCGTGTATATAGCAGAGGGTGTATTTAGCAGGGCGTGTATGTTACAGGGCGTGTATGTAGCAGGGCGTGTATGTAGCAGAGCGTGTGTTTAGGAGGGCGTGTATGTAGCAGGGCGTGTATGTAGCAGGGCGTGTATGTAGCAGGGCGTGTATATAGCAGGGCGTGTATGTAGCAGGGCGTGTATATATGGCCTGTACTTTAGAGGGGCTACTCGTGTCTGGGAAAGACTTGGCTGTGACGGGCTCTAATATATTAACTTACTACACTTACTCAGTATTCGACCCGTGAAGATCAGGGTTAGAATAGGTCTTCAGCAACCCATAAAAGGCGACTATGCTTGTCGTAAGAGGCGACTAACGGGATCGGGTGGTCAGGGTCGCTGACTTGGTTGATGCATGTCATCGTATCCAAATTGCTAGGATCGATTAGCACGATGTCAATCATTGGATTGTCTGATCCAGACTCGATTATTTACAGACCGCCGTTATATAGCTGGAATATTGCTGAGTGTAGCGTTAAACAACAAACCAACTCAGTATTCACCTGATGAGGGGCCAGAAGTAGACCGGAAACATTGTTACAAACAGGTTGTTATCCATAAGAGTGTCAAGTGTTCAGATGACTAGTAGACTTACTGGTTGATTGTATTCTGGAAGTTCTACATATTCTATATTAATATGTTGCTAAAATATGTGTACATATATACATACATGAACATATTCCAACGAACACCTCGAAAAATCAACTAGAAGGAGACAGTTGGTTATGAATGTGAAACAGAAGTTAGTTTTGTTGAGGAAATGACGTTAAACTGGCTATTGTGTTGTATATATCACATTGAACACCCGCTACTGTATAACACAATACATCGCTAAGACAATCAGTCCCCTGCCAGCTGTTCTTGCTATTCCCTGAAATGATTAGTAGTTCCAGCACGGCTCTGACAATCACACGTCCAGGCACAGTCCTTTAGCAGTTCAGGCGGGTTTTCACCGAAACAGTTTACAACGTACACACAGATGAGCTCTGCACACTCCCGTATGCCGTCTACGTGTATCGTTATGCTGCCTACATCTGTTAAACTAATATTATAAGTAAACTAACCTGACACTGACAAGGACAGCCGACCAGGTTGTATGCTGGGGTTACGTGACGAAGTCGACCGACTGGGAGTTGACTGCACCATGCCGACTGGACAACAACAACACAGCCCCTGTCACATGACGAGCTCCAATTTCAGCCCGTGATCAAACCTCGGCTTGCACTTTTAGAAAATGTATAGTAGTAAATAGGTAGACCCGTGGGGACATTTGCTGTCCGTATCGTTTTTAAGTACAGTGATATTCATTGTTATGAATGGCGGGGATAACAACATTTTATGTTAAAGACGCATCTGATAGAGAGGCAACACTCACAAGTGAGTGAGTGGCTAAGTGAGTGAGTGAACGAGTGAGTGAGTAGCTCAGTGAGTGAGTGAGTTGCTAAGTGAGTGAGTGAGTGCGTATAATGCACACAAACATCGGCAATATTTCAGCCATATTGTGACGACCATTCAGTTACTATATGTCATATAAAACTTGTCGACAAAGGACAGCAAAACATCCAGTGGACTGTAACAGAAGTGCATTTTAAAACTATCAAGAGCATGAAAAAGATGAGCTACATGTATTAAGCTACAACACAATATAACACTCGGACAACAGATCGCCATCCCTTTAGCCGCTGACAAGTGGCAAGTTTAGCCGACAATTAAATGTGCAGATATACTCTGATGAAAGTAAACAACAACACATACTCTGAGAGACGTGGCTTTGGTACTCGGGGGACAGTTATTCCACGTTACTCCAGTGACAAAATCAGTTGCTAATTCCTGTTATGAAAGTATCGTAAAAAACTATATTGTTTTACATAAAGTATGACGATACAAGTCATGTTTAGTTCCATATAAGCAAGTATCATATTCACAAAGGTGTGGATATAAACACTTCATGTTCACTTCATTGAAAGCGAGTATCGTATATTGTTGGGCGCAAAGTGTGGCGATACAAGTCACGTTTAGTTTGCCGTGACGAGTTGCCTCCCTTGAACCGAGCCAGGCGTCCTATTCCCGGGTACAGTGTTGGGTCAGCGTATGTGCCGCTCAGACCTAAGCCCGACACAGCTCAAGGGTAGACAACTCGTCAAGGTTTACTGTCAGAACGGGGGGCTCGGAGGCTGGAATTTTTGTATCGAGACTAGATATTCATTTAAAAATATGAGCCTGCAACAATGTACAAGTTTGTTTATGGCAGGCATTAATATTCAAGAATTTTCAGGGACATTTGTTTTTCGAAAAATACCCGACCTTCACTACGACTGTCTCTCCATGGTACACATGGGGAGGAAGTTTCCATATTTGACCTCTCCGTGACCAACAGTGTGTCTGTTGCAATTCCCTATTCTAACTACACCACATGTTTCCATGTTTGTTCAGATAAACAGATGACTTGCCTCTGCATGTGTTTGTGACACATTTCAGCTTGACCTCACTGATGTTTTATTGCAAGAGAAGCTTTGAACTCAGGTAGTGACAGTACATACACGGTTATAAAAAAAACCCCAAAACATGACCCCAAGCAGAAAATATTTACTTGCTTCATAGACTTTAAAAAAGCTTCCGATAATGTCAACAGACATCAATATACAATCACTTTATGGCGATACTTGTATTGTGCGAGTGAATGATTTCTTGGCGTCATTCGTTTAAGCGAAAAGGGGAGTTAAACAGGGATGTGTTTTGCCACCAATGTTAATATTTCCACCTCATGATTGGTTGGTTTGTGTTCCGCCGTTCTACACTGTCGTAGTAAGTGTTTGCATGGGAAGGAAATATAGTAGTTAGCTGTTAGAGCGATATAGGGAATATTACGTTTAAATAGTCCTCTATTCATGTTCCGTGGTCTAGTGGTAGAGCGGGAGGTCCGGGGTTCGATCTCCAAAAGACGTTAAAAGATGGTACTTGTTGTTACCCTGCCTGGCGCTCGGCATTAAGGGGCTAAAACAAGGACTGGTCAGCTCGGAGTCAGTATACTTTGTCTGAGTGGGGTATTCATGTTAAACTGCGGCATGGTATCTCAGTATGTTAGCACTATAAATCAGCATCAGTCCGGACTAGTACAAGCAGCCACACACAGACACACACACACGTGCACGCACGTCGCCTCTCCTATTCATGTTAATGCGTTAACTGACGCCTACTGGCAAAAACATGCGACCACCGCCCGTGTCATTTCCTCCAGGTAAATCCGAAGATTTTCAAAACATCAAAATTATGTCATAAAATGATTAAATAACAAAATAATTAAACATATTTTTAATTTGATATAAAAACGTTGGGAATTCTATAATAGTGAAATACCACACTATTTCATCAATGTCATTGTTATCTGGACCAGAAAGGAATGCTAACATATCGTGGTCTTCCTTCATCTCTATTTTAACATACATGTCAACATCAAGATTATCAATTGGAGTGGAAAAGAGTACATCCCTGTCTGAAAGTACACATTTACTGTTTAAGATGACATAGTGATAATAATCATTAGCAAAAGTTTTACATTTTGTACATTCCTCAGATATTTGGCTTCTGGATCCAATCCTTATTACATATTGTGTTCCTCCATTCTGGATATAACATTACAGTGCTGTATTGCACATAAGGAGTAAGCGTTGTGTGAAGTTTAGAATATCGAAACAGGTCAGCTCTACATGATAATTCATATGTCCATACTTACATACCTATTGTTCGGGAATCCTCCTGTGCAAACGTTGTGAAATACATGATGAAGTGGATTATATTTCTTAGCTGTTGAAAGCAAAACTCGACATAAACTGCGTAAATTACTTTTATGAAAATAATGGAGCGAGATGCGCAGTAAATAGTTTTAGAAATTGAGACACATGAGTTGTTGTAAAGGCGCCCCAGCAGCTGTAGTCTACATTTATCTATATAGCCAACCATGCTCCACAGGCCCAGCTTAGGAATAGTGGCATCAGTGGGGGGAACAGTTGTCAAAACCTTGTATATCCGTGGCAATGTAACGGCGGGTGCTTTCAGCTAATTCACGATCTTTACCATGCAGAGTGAGTAAGTGAGTGAGTTGGGTTTAACGCCGCTTTTAACAGTATTCCAGTCATGTCGCAGCGTGTCAGCTTAATGTGTGTGTGGTGGTGGGGGGTTGGTGGGTGGGGGGTTGGGGGGGGGGGGGGGGGGGGGGGGAGCTCGAAGTGATGCAGGTTTCAGACGTTTACCTCTTCGGTGAAACCCACGAGCACGGGTATGGTGCTGACAAATCTAGAAACATAATCGGGGCGAACCGGGATTCGAACCCACAATCATAGGTTTCTGGCGTGCCCTAGGGACGCAACTCTGCACAGCGAATCGCGGAGGTAGTAATTCTTATCCAGAAAAACTTGTTAATATCATTCTTTTCCATTTCTTAATACTTGCATACTGATGTACATCACTACTTTATAGACCAACAGAGAGGAGAGAGTTAACAGTGCGCCTTGCTTTTGTACAACTCTCTTCAATACATAATATGAAAGAAAGATTACTTTGTAGAGCAACACCCGCATATTTTAAATTATCAAACAAAGGTATGTCATAATCCCCAAAGTGATAAGCATGCGTAAGCAATTGCAATAATTGCTACTTTTTATGAAACACAACAATTTTACTTTTCGATGCATTATAAGTTAATCGCCATTTGGATGCGTAATTAACAACTGTATCTAAAGCTGTTTGTAGACGTTCAGGGCTGTAACTGATAGGTGCAGTATCATCAACCAGTAACACGCAAGGATAACTTACATTATATAAATTACATATGTTCCTGTATCTAATTGCCGAGGCTCAGTTATAAGGTAATTTATGTACACAAGAAAACGCCAAGCTGAGAACTCTACCCTGACCTATACCTTGTCTTACAGCAAATGCATCAAATTGCTCGCCCTGATACTGAACACACGCACACATGGAAGTATAGCAGTGGTGTAACAGAGACCACATTTTACCTCTAATACCAAGATGTGGAGTTTTACGAAGAGACCCGAGTGCCATATTCGACCAAAAGCTTTCTCGTTATCTAGAAATGCTGTGTAGATGCATGATCCCCTGTTACATAACTTTCTACACATTCAGTGCGAGTACATAGCGACGTGACAATACCCTGCTCCTCCCTAAACCAAACTGCAACAAATCGGGAAAGTTACGGGCATGTCCACGTTTCAAATCTTTCTTGGAGAACTTTTTCAAAAAGCTTAATGAAGCAAGATGTAAGGTAAGCTAATACCTCTGTAATTGACAGGTTTTGGTTTGTCTTTGTTTACCCTCATAGATAGGTATAATTACCCCGTGTCTATAGACAGCAGGTTAGACTAACATCTAGTCTCTGAAATCTTTAAAAAATAATAAAAAGGAGCCTAGAGACTCTCTTCGTTTTCAAGTACTGCAGAAATCTAGACTTGCCAAACATTATAGACTTGCATGGGCTGTATTTGATATATTTGTATCAGGGTCTGTAAGACAGATCAGCTGCAGGTGTGTACGGAAGTTCAAGACTAGCATTAGAGAATAGTGCTGGCTTCCGTACTAGCAGCTAGCTCACCACCAAACATCACATGTTCATTATTGATATTGTCAGGGCCAGGTGAGTTGTTCCTCCTCAGTTTCTGTACATACCTAGCGACTTCGTGAACGGATATTTCAGCAACACATGATATTATCAATACATGAGTTAGTTTCATTACTAGAGGCTAATTTCTCAATTCCATGGCCAATACCATCTTTAAAATGGTCAGAGTCGTGTGAGTTTGCTAGATCTGCACTGTACCTACCCTATAACTGACATGTAGAAGAAATATCATATTTGATAAAATCATTGATTTGCTTGATGTTAAAATATTTGTTAGAATCAGGACAGACGATGATACCTTTCTGTCTTTTCTGCCCGGAGGTTTACCTGAACCACTTGAAGATGAATTAGACTACAACGTATGGTCAGAAAGCGTGATAAATATTGGTGGCGCATTTACAAAGTAGGATGAAGTCATCCGAAGCTGCTTATACTAAACAATGTATGTATTATAAGTAAGTGTACACTTGGAAAGAGCACATGCTAATTGTCCATTCAATTACTCCAATAATCAATATTATACATATGTATATGATCTTCTCCAAATATATGTAATATACATATGTGTGTGTGTGCACTTATCCTATATATATATTGTCTTATCACTGTATACCTTGTACTCCTCATGAAATGGAGGAAATAAAGAAGATCTATCTATCTAT